CTATTGATCAAAACTGACTTTGGGCAGACCTGCCTGATAGACATCAGCAGAATTGTCCTACCACTAGCTGAATGCAGTCAAAACCCCCTCACAAACAGGTCACCCTCTCATTGTTCATTGAAATATTCCCCTCCCACTCTTACTTGCTTGGACGGATAAAAGATCTCCATCTCCACACTCCCATGTAGAGCACACAAAGCTGAAACAGAAACTGTTCCTTTCCACATAAGAAGATGCATACAATGTAGCTTAGAACATTTCTGGTCATCTGTATCTCCAGCACGAGTGGTACCGTGAACATAAACATCACAACCAGGGAGGGCTACATTGGAAAAGAAGTTCACTTTAAACCAGGTCTTGGATAAGTACCTGATGGGAAAAGATTTGTAGAATCATGGGGAGTAGATGGTGGAATTCGAATAATAGGAGCAGTCACGTCATGAAGGTCAAGACAGGACTTGGAATGTTAAATTGGCGATGTTACTTCAACAGGGACCATTGAGTGATAAAGTCATACAGCATGGAAACAGACCCTTCGGTCCAACCAGTCCATGCTAACCATGTTCCCAACTAAACCAGCACATCTGCCTGTGCTTGACCCACATTCCTCCAAGCCTTTCCCACTCATGAACTTATCCAAACGTCTTTTAAATGTTACAACTGTGCCTGCATCCATCACTTCTTCTGACAGTTCATTCCACACATGAACCACTCTCTGTGTTAAAAGGTTGCCCCTCCAATGTCCTTTTGAAATCTTTCTCCTCTCACCTTAAAAATATGTCCCCTAGTTTTGAACTCCCCCACCCTAGGGAAAAGACCCTTTCCATTTGCCTTATCTATACGCCTCATGATATCATAAACCTCAAAAAGGTCATCCCTCAATCTCCTGCATTCTAGTGAAAAAAGTTCCAGTCTTCCCGGTCTATTTTTATATCTCAAAATGTTCATTCCCAATAACATCCTGGTAAACGTTTTCTGAACCCTCTCCAGTTTAATAATATCCTTCTTATACTAGGGAGACCAGAACTGCATACAGTACTCCAGAAGAGGCCTCACCAACATCCTGTACAACCTCAAAAGACGTCAGTGTGTGTCAATGACCACGTGGAACTTGTTCTAAGTTAGGGTATCGATCAAAATGTTTTGGCTGACAAGTGATTTATGAATGCTTATAACTGGGAGGGTGAGGAGTAAAAAAAAAAATGGAATTGTTGAATCATGAGTGAACAAAGGCACAGATGTGAGTTCTGACTGGAGTTGAACTGGTTGTGGTGGGTGTGGGAAGGAATGGGGATGGAGAGAGGACAGGAAATTGGAAATCTGCTGTAATTCAAGGGAATAGTCAACATTGTGAACGGTCTCAATCAGCCTCAGAAGTTAGCCAAGGAGGGGAAGTGGAGTCAATAGATGTGATTTCATGTTTGCGTTTTGAACTGAAGGCTTTGAATTTCACAAATTTAAATTGACAAGAGCATCAATGCAAATACACATGGTTTATATAATCAATAACTAGATAGAAAGCCTTACCAGGGATGCCAACAATAGCCAGCACAGGGTAGAAACCTGCTTGAATAACCTCAATTATGTATCGAATGCGCCATGATAATGATATCCAGTCAAGAGAAAGCATGTAAAGACTCCAGGCTAAACCCCTGTCCATTGATGAAACATTCCAGTAAATGGTTCTCGGATTCTGATCTCTCCTCTCCATCTATCGGGACTTGCTGATCCCTGCTGGCGACAGATATGATGTTCCCTCTCTCTCTCTGGCATAACATATCATATCCCCTATTAAGAGAAAAGGCAACCCCTTGAATGACACAATTAGGATCTCTGGAGACTGATATTAATTACAGTCACTGAACAAACAGACACAATTAAAGCATTTCAATCCAACACAGTTTATTCAACAATATACCGCAGGTATGGTTCCACCACCCACAACACCCACCCCCCCACTCCACCCCCACCACGCCCTGTAACACTGCAATGAGACATCCTGGCTTCTGAACTCAAGTCCTCTTACAATGAAGGCAAGTATACTATTTGCCCTGTTAATTGTTTTCTGGACCTGCCTGTCTACTTTCATTGACTGGTGTACAAGGACACCCAGATCCCTTTGTACATCCTCACTTCCCAATAGATTATTATTTAAATAATATTCTGCCTTTCTATTTTGCACACTGAAATGTATAACTTTGCATTTAGCCACCTTGTAGCCATATGCTTGGCCACTCACTCAGTTTGTCTAAATCACCGCGAAGCCTCCTTGCATCCTTCTTAGAACTCACAATCCCAACCAGTTTTGTGTCTTCAGCAAACTTGGAAACGTTACGTTTGGTTTATTCATCCAGGTCATTTATCGATGTCACGCACAGGGCTCTTGTAGTAGTGTCTGTACCTCAAGACCAGGAGGCCTGGGTTCAAGTCCCACCTTCTCCAGCGATTTTATGATCTCATCTCTGCACAGGTTGATGAGGTGAATATCTACAGCTCACGAATAGCTGGGGTCCAATCACTGACCCTAGTGGGACTCCATTATTTACTTAGGGAACAAAAAAATCTTTCATTTTTCTCTCTCTATTTCCTGTCAACCAATTCTCAATCCAGGTCAATTGAACCCCCAGCCTGTCCCATCTGCTTTAACTTTGCTCACTAACCCCTTCAAAAAATCTTTATCAAAACCATTCTTCAAGTCCAAATACACCGCATCCATTGGTTTGCCCTTAACTGTTCTACTAGTTGTGTCCTCAAAAAATGTTCAGTACATTTGGATTGTATTATTTGTCTTTCATAAACCCACGCTGGTTTTGTCCAATCGCCTCAATGCTTTCCAAATATTCTGTTACATTTACCCACACCCCCACCCCCAGCCAATCTGTAGGAACTGCTTCAGAGTTGATATAATTTTGGAAGATGACTACAAATGCATCGACTATTTCCAGGGCCACTTCCTTCAGTACCTTCCTTTACTCTGGGATGTTGATTATCAGGCTATGGTGATTTGTCAGACTTTAACTCCATTAATGTGCCCAGCACCAATTTCTTACCAACACTAATTTCTTTCAATTTCACCCTCTCAATGAAACATAGGAACAGGGGTAGGCCATTCAGCCCCTCGAGTCTGTTCCGCCATGCAATGAGATCATGGCTGATCTGTGGTCTACATCCATAGATCCACCTGTGGCCTAAATCCCTTCAAACCTCGCGTAACAAAACCTTACCGATCACAGATTTAAAATTAACAACAATGATTCAGCATCTTTTGCTATCTGTGGAAGAGAGTTCCAAACATCAACCACCCTTTGCGCGTAGATCCTTGGATCCTGAATTTCTCAACATTTCTGGGAGGTTATTTGTGTCTGCTTTTGTGATAAAGGAACCAAGGTATGTGTTCAATTCTTCTGCCATTATAATTTTTCTATCTTCAAGCTGTAAGGAGACTATATTTATCATTTTTCCTCATATTTTTTACTCTTCTCATACTTTTGGAAGCTTTAAAGGTCAGTTTTAGGGAGAGAGAAAATAAAAAAGATGCAGAAATAGACAGAGATAGATAGGCAGAGGAGGGAGACAGAGACAGAAGATGGAAAGAGATAGACAGAGGCAAGAGCACAGGCAGAGACAGACAGAAATATGGAGAGACAGGCAGATAAAGAGAGGCAGACAGACACCTGGACGGAGACATACAGGCAGAAGAAAGGAGATACATACAGAAGCAGACATAGGAATGCAGAGACAGGCAGAGAGAGACAGAGGGAGACAAAAAGAGACGGAGGTAAACAGTGCTAGAGACAGACAGTGAAAGAGGGGCAGGGACAGATGAAAGGAGACAGTCAGAATTGAATAAACAGAGGTAGAGAGGAAAGAGTGAGAGTTAGTGAAAGAGGCAGAAAGACAGACATGAACAGTCAAAAGGCAGAGATAGAGAGAACTGGAAAGGGAAAGGCATGGAGACTGAGAGAGACAACATGTTAAACAGGAAAAGACAGACAGGCAGAGAGAGACTAAGGTACAGAAGTGGAGAGGAAGACCAACTAGTTGAGACTGTTACACGGAGACAAAAAGAAGCAGACAGGCAGGGATGCTTACAGAAATAGGTAGAGAGAGAGACAGAGAGTGAGACTGAGGCAGATAGAAAGAATGAGAGACAGAGAGGGACAAATACAGACTGAGAGGCAGACAGATAGAGGCAGAGAAAGAAAGAGTGGTAATATCAGAAAGACAGAAACTTAAAGCAACACATGGACAGAGAAACAGCATCAGGGAGTGAAATATAGAGACAGGACCAGACAGGAAAGGACAGACAGAAGCTGAGATAGTCAGAGACATGGGGAGAAATACATTTACAGATAGACGCTGGCAAAGACAGAGAGACTGCGACAGAGAGACTGAAGCTGAGACGGAGAGAGAGAGAGAGCGAAAGAAAAGCAGGGACCTGCAGACAGCAATAGAGTGACAGATTGAAACAGACACAGAGACAGCCACAAGCAC